TAAATAAGTGTTTATCTATATTGTTTTCAAATATTTACTTTAAATTATAATTTTTTAGCACAATTGCAAAACCATTTGAAGGTCGTATGACTTATGGCAAATCATTAATATTGATCATATGTATTTGGATTTATGTTTTACCCTGGTGCTTACTTCCTTTAACTGAAAAGTGGAATCGATTTGTTCCAGGTAAGTCGAAATAACTACATAACCCTAATATCTTTTCATATTAATGTTACAATAACCTGCAATTACTTGGAATTCAGATTAAATATAAAATATAATAGAGATTAGTTTTATTTTAGAATCTATTTATAATTAATTTTTTTATTACCTAATATGTTGTATAGAAAAGCCGAATAAATATGAAAACTACCAATCAAACAATAGCGTTTTAAATGATGACATAAAAAAATACTATTTCTATATTTTGACCTTGGTTTTTTATCTACTATTTAATACTAACACACGGGAAATAAAGGTTTTTAGAAATAGTAATGTGTGAATTTGGTATCTATACCTAGCTAGTTATACACTTGGACGACACTACTATAATATATCTAGTAAAAGATACACAAGATATAGACATAATCTAATTATTGAAGATGGTGATCAACTCTTAAGCATTAAGCTGAGTTTACACGATGATAGTAAAACGCAATAGCATGGGCGGATAGGCCCTTWTTGGCCTACCGGAAAATTTTAAAAAGGGGCCCCACATGAAAAAGAATTTAATAATATATATGATATTAAAGGCCCCATTACCGAAATACGAAGGGGGGCCTACAGGGAAATGCCGGTTGCCCGGTAGGCCTATCCACCCATGCGCAATAGTAACGAATATGTATAATGACATTAATAATAATTTATTAATTGGAGTCTATCATAGTCCATAGAGAGGATAATATATATATATAATATCTTATTACTGTCACAACATGATTTTGCACTATCAAATGTAGATAGATACATGATAATTGATTAGGGTGGCTCGAGTATTACCTAAAATTATTTTTTCATACAATAAACACTAACTAAGTCCTGGATTTCAAAGATAATTACATATTTTTATAGGGGGGCTCTGGTAGAAAAATGTATTTAAGTACCTAGTACTACCTACTTACATAATTAAGTTCAATAAACAAATACTTAAAAAGGGAACATTTTAGTTCTCTTTTATTGTTATTGTGYATACCAATTTGTTGTTGTTGTTTTTTTTCTTTTAACACTTTTATGTTGTTTTAATTATTTTAATAAAAGTTAGTTATTAGGTAAT